GGTAAATGGTACTGTAATTCACAATACATCAGTTGTATTTGTTCTTCCTATTCTCTGGTACAATTATAGACATCCTTACAAGTCATTTTTTCAGTATACAGAAGCATAGAATCCCTACAATGTGGAAGCATGCCATTTGGCCCACACTAAATGTCCAAAGAACATCCCACACAGACCCACTTCCCTGCCCTTTCCCTGTACCCCTGCATTTCCAATGGCTAACCCACCTAGCCTGCACATCCCTGGACACTATGAGCAATTTAGCATGGCCAATCCACCTAATCTGCACATCTTTGGACTGTGGCAGGAAACTGGAGCACCCCCTCCGACACAGACACCCACACAGACACGGGGAGAACATGCAGACTCCATACAAACAGTCACCCAAAGATGGAATTGAAACTGGGTCCCTGGTGCTGTGAAGCAGCAATGTTAACCACTGAGAGACTGTGATGCCCCTATACTTACATCCAAATGCATTTCAGTGGCTATGTTAACTTACTTTACATTTAGCTAGCAGAAAAGAATGTTTTTGCTTCCTTATCTCTGGCCACACTGGGACAATTCTGCATAAATTACAATTATCTCAAATTAGCCATTTCATATGTTATCACTTGACACCACTGAAGAGACACAGTCAGGTATCATCCTCAAAACAAATGCTGTTCACCATTTCTGAATTTACTAATTACATTGTCCATCAAGAATTGTCGTACAAATATAAATACAAGTGGATCATTTTTATATAAGCTCTTTTAAAAATGCATTTTGGAGGAAATATTTTAATTATAATGTTTCAAATGAGTGCTAACATCTATCATCTGACCCATAACTAGGACATTATATTCACAATTCAAAAGAAAAGAAGACTTGCAATTATCTATATGCAAATAACATATAAATTGACTTCGATAATCTCATGCTGTCCTAAACTGCTTTATAAACAATTCTGTATTTTTGAAGAATAAACAATATGTACTGAGAATACAGGTTTAAATTAAAAAGGTTAGAAGATATTTCCAACATAAATTCAGATGAGGAATTCTATTCCACTCATTTGATCTTCTCCTTTCAAATATCAAACTTACCAATGTCCCATGACACGCTTTCACTTTGTTCTTTTTTAAATAATTCCAATGGCCAGCCTTAAATATGCTTCCTGCCTTGGTTGACTCTTTCAATTCTGATCAATTTCAAAATAAAGAAACGATTCTGATTGTCTCTGCGGATTTAAACTCAAGATCATTTGGTATATAATGTTGTTCTTGCACAATACTACATTCCACTGTTTATGTGAATGTCCAAATAATTAAAATCCCTTGATCCCTTGAAATTCCCACTTTGGCTAGTTTATTCCTAATTAGTAAATGACATTTTTCTCTATTGAACTTTATTTGCCATAGATCAATACAGGCGCAAAACTCTGAGTTTCCTCAGCGATGTTTTGAGTGCCTCAAATAGATTATTTTAAAACAACAATTTTAAAAATACAGTACAAAATTATTACAGTCATCAGAATTCAGTGAAAAAATATTGAAAACAATACAACATATATGGTACAAAAATAGTTTGATTAATACATTATCAGTTTAAATTATGTAAGACATTTAGAAAGAAAATATAGTATTCAATCCCAGTATGTACTGCACAAGAGTCAGAAATATCAAAAAAAAGTTTTAAGACCACCCAGTTCAAAATTTGTCATTTTCCAACTGTTCAGTTATCAGTACATATTCAAACTTCTAAATATACAGTAGAGTTTGAGAAAAAAATTCATGATTGGAAAAGGAAAAATCTAAATGTACCATGATCTATTCTATTGCAGTTGCTATCTGCATGGATTACCTGAACCAGAAAATTAAGTGCAAAATAATAAACAGGAGAAAACAGCAATGTACAATTCAATCTATAAATGATACAGAACTCAACAATAGTCAATAGGTTCACTGACACAATAAAAATGGATACCTCACACCTCTCTTTCTTCTGTTAAATGAGCTATAATAAGGAGGCAGCACAGCATGGAATGAGTTAACAGGCAGGTATGGGAGGCAGTGAAATATTTCCAGAACTGGTTATTTATTTTTATATTTTTAAATTCTAATGAGATTACCATACAATTAAGATGTGTCAATTATTGCCTATGAAAGAAATGACTGGAATTCAAAATATAGGGCTTAAAAGGTATTGTTTTATCCTTGTAATTACAGTTAACATTGATATGAATGAAGTATTTAGATGACTGCAAACATGGATAACCTTAATAAGTTGTGTTTAGTAACTTGAACAAGACAAACATCATAAAACAGAACTAGAATAAACATCTAGTGCTATAAAAGTGAAAACAAAAGCTTGCAAGAGTTCCGTATCATGTGTTGAGTCATGGATGAGTCAAGCCTTTCAGTTTCTGATCAGAGCTTCTGTTGACCAGCTGCAAAATCTCTTGTTCTGAGAGGTGAGAATGAGTGTGTATTGAAAGGGATTGTCGATTTAAGTCACTACTGTATAAAACATCATTTCAAGAACATTGAGGATAAAAGAGTATTCAGCACACCATACCTTAGACAGTTCTGGAATCATTAGTGGATTCGTTTCTGGTACAAACAGTGTTTTTGGCCTGCCATTATGCAAGTAACAACATTTTGTTTCGTAGGCTGCAAGGGAAGATGAATTGACATTGAATTAACTGCAAGCTAGATAACTGGAAATTGGCTTGTTGTTAAAATGAAGAAATAATGACACATAGACAAAACCTGACTGTGCTCCAATAACAACACCTAGCAGATTTATTCTGGCTCCCCTGCTGTATTTATGAATGATGTGGAGCATTTTCCAATTAGTCCATAACTTGCTGATAGCACAAAGCTAGATGTTGAAGTGATCAATATTGGGGAAATTTGATGAGAGTTCAATGGCATCTATGCATTATGCAGGGGCAGAGAAATGACATCTTAACTATGGAGTAACTTTTAAAAGTTTTCACATGATCCCATGATTAGCTGTTAGTTTCTCAACCAGAGTGTCACTGGCCTATAAACGTGATACATCTGAGAAAAGTAACTGGGAAACTATTTTTCATTTTCAAGTATTATTTTATTTCAGATACTTTTCTTCTTGTCATTCTTTTTCAAAAGGGACTCACTTTAATTAGGTTTTAATTGTTTCAAATATGGACTCCAGAATTGTTCAAAAGATGTCGGAAGTTTTGAAAGGAATGCATGACTGTTGATGGAACTTAATGGGTATTCCTTCTTTAACGTCACTACAAAATAAAAGACCATTCTGTCCAAGTATCTAGATCAGCATTTTTCTCTACTTGAAATGCCTTATTTCTGATTCCTCCTTACACCACTTTTTCAAACAACTTTCCACTTATGAAGTAATTTGTAGAATGTTTCAGCAAATATTATGGGCAGTGTGTGAATCTTCGTTTTATTTCCACCATTCTTTTTTCATCTGTCTAATGGTGCATCTTAAATTTCTAATACTCTGGTCACCCAGTCAATAGCCATTGGAATATCCTGACTCATATTTGGCCAGGGACAATTTTGATAAAACAGATGAGCTTCATTGGAAATACTGAAAACAAAAAAAATTTGGATGGGACTATTAGCCAATTAACAAAAGTAGCCAGGTCAATATATAAAAGTTTTTTAAAAAGGCTCTGGAAAACATATCAACTTACTTGAATAAAAAGTAAAACTTTTTTTTTTATCCTGCATTGTACTCTGGTACTTTTACTTGGAATATTGTGCAACATTTTGGTGCAGTGAAATTTGAGTGAGTTAAGGCTGTTTGGAAAAGGGCAATATAGCATTTCTTTCTGGAAATCTAAACACGCCAAAAGCAAAGAACCAGAACTAAATTAGTTCTCATTCCAAAAATATTGGAAGCATACTTGCCCCCATCAAAAGATTAATGGCAAAGATGTAAGTGAATTACGTATTTGAAGTAATCAGAGAATGAGAGTACGAATGCAGAATTGGCAGGGTGCAGGGAAAATGAGAGGAACAGAAGATATTGTCCCTTTCAACAGAATAAGCCATCAAAAATGTTTAATGCAATGTCAAACAACCACTTTAAAAAAAAAACTGGATGAATACTTCAGTAGTAAAAGTTGACAAACGCTCAGGAATAACAGTCCAGCTCTTTTAAAGACCTGGCACAGACTCCAATAGACCCCTTCAATCCTGATTGATTCTGTCACTCTCAGGAACAAGCGATGTTGTCACTGTCACAGAAATGCATTTTGCGGTATACGATTGGTCAGGGTTGAAAACCAGACGCTATCAATAAGAAAATAATATTTCACTTGTTCATTCTCAGGGCTTAAAGTAAGTTTCATAGTTTTATAAAGTTTCGGGAGTTTTATTCTTAACATTTTATTAGATGCTTAAACAAATAAAAATGTACAGAAAAGTGTAAATTGAACATGGTATATTGAATAGAATGGACTTCGTGGACTCAATTCCTTTTGGTTATTTACTTTCTTGTGTTAAGAAAATCCTCCTGTTAAATGACTTAAGGTCTAAAGTGTAGTTTTAGTTTGAGTGAGAAAGCAGAATGAGGGACTAGCAACTTGAGAACAGTCAGCGACCTCAGGATCCATTCCGAGTTCTAAATCCACAGCAGGGTGTACGTTCTCTGAACTGCAGATAATCTTCTCAAACAGTTCTGATATGGAACTGGGCGGGACCTCTTCCACTGCTACTGAAATTCGAGCTAGCAGCACAGTCTATTCCTGGCCCCCAAAAAATATTTACAGGGACTTACCGTCACTGCCCGAGTGGTTGTCAGCACATTAATCCACGTGAATTCAAAACTAAGTTAAAAAGGAAAGACCCAGTGGGTTAAACGTTTGGAAATGCACATTGTGATTAGTCCAGTCTCGTGTTTCTGTAAAGTTCAGGTTTTTCACCAAGATTTCAGAAGCTGCTTTAAAAATATATACCAGAGATAATTGGTTGGGGAAAAAAAGTTCTTTTTTTCCTCTCTCCCTTAACTTGTACTCAGGGCACTCTCATTGAAGTTAATGCTCTCTAAATGGAAGTTGGAGATGTGGCGTCAGGAAGAGGCTCATTGGAGGAACTCTGTGTGCGACGTGAAAGGGGAGGGCGCTGTGCTGCTCTGACCCCCAGCTACAGGTTGTTGGTGCCGCCACAGCCAGAGGATGAGGGAGGACAGCACCACACGCAGCATCTGCGGGGACAACCTCCGATGAAAGCGACGTGAGCTCCTGGCTCGGTCAGCGGCACTCTACACAATGGGAGACCGCCTGTCCTCTGAGGATTGTCACACTAACAAATCCAGCACCATCCTCTTTGTTAATCCTGCAAACGGGGTAAGTCCACACGTGCCTCAGCAAGAGTTCTCTGAGCAGTGGGTGATAGGGATGGGCACAGTAATGGCCAGCATCGTCCTGATCATTGTCCTCGGAAACCTCTTGGTGGTCTTTGCCATCGCCAGGAACCAGCGGCTGCAGACGCTAACCAATGTTTTTATTGTGTCTCTGGCCTGTGCAGATCTGATTATGGGCTTGTTGGTGGTGCCTTTCGGGGCGACCTTGGTCGTTCGAGGTAACTGGTTGTATGGCTCGGTTTTCTGTGAGATCTGGACTTCGGTCGATGTCCTGTGTGTGACGGCGAGCATCGAAACTTTGTGTGTGATCGCCATCGACCGCTACGTGGCGATCACTTCCCCGTTCCGCTACCAGAGCTTACTGACGAAAGCCCGAGCCCGGGCCATCGTGTGTGTGGTCTGGCTCATCTCTGGCCTCATCTCCCTGCTGCCCATCATGATGCACTGGTGGAGGGATGACCAACCCGACGCCATCCGCTGTTACAATGACCCCTGTTGCTGTGACTTTGTCACGAATAAAGCCTATGCCTTGGCTTCCTCCATCATCTCCTTCTACCTGCCTTTACTCATCATGATCTTCGTCTACGCCCGCGTCTTTCAAGAAGCCAAGAAGCAAATGAAGAAGATTGATAAGTGCGAGGGCAGGTTTTACACCAGTCACTTCATCCCAAACGGCAGGTCAGCTCGCAGGAGACCCTCCAAGATTATAGCCATTAAGGACCACAAGGCGTTGAAGACTCTGGGGATTATTATGGGAACATTCACCCTGTGCTGGTTACCCTTTTTTCTAGCCAATGTGGCGAAGGCTTTCCGGACTGACATCGTGCCCGGCAAACTCTTTCTGTTTTTCAACTGGCTCGGCTATGTCAACTCAGCTTTCAACCCCATCATATACTGCAAGAGTCCAGACTTCCGAGCCGCCTTTAAGAGGTTACTGTTCTGCCCCGGCCAGGCAGACAGTAATAGACTGTGCTCGGGCTCCGGGGAGTTCTCCCGGTGTTCGGGCATGTTCGGCAACACTCTGGACCCGAGGAGCCTGGAGACATGGTCAGAATGGAACAGGAGCCAGGAGGCGAACGGGGGCGGTTTGGACAGGCACATGGGCGAGAACCCTGAAGACCAGGAGTCCCAGTTCTAGCGCGGGTGGAGTGCGGGCAGCAAGTCCAGCATCTCAGACAGAAACGTTCAGGTTCCGTGGAGAAGACAAAAAAAAAAGCGTTGAAGACAGAGCAGTGAGTGCGGGCGAACGGTCCCACACCCACTCAGTATTGTAGGAAACAGGCATTGAAACCCAGCACAGACCAACTCCGCGGCGGATTCCTGCCGCAAGCGATCGTTCCCCGCAATTCTGGAGAACGGAAGGCCAAAGTAGATTAACACTAAGGTTTGGATTCGGAGCGATCATAGACTGTAGAAGAGGACACGCTTTGCCGGGATGCGCTGACTTTCATCGGACGAGCCAGCAGCCCACCGTTTTGCAACACGAATGGTGTGTCCTGGTTAAATCACATTCCATGGTCAAAGGCAGTTTCCAACGTGGATTAAAGAGGAGCTCTCGGTTACATGAACAATCGCCGTGTCCCCAGAATAACGGATCGTTAAGGTCATTGTGTTATTATTTTCAACGTTTTGGATTATGTTAGAGAGAAACCACAAGTTTCATTTTAAAACAATTTGAATAAACAAAGGTCCACCGTCTAAAACAAAATATTTCAGATTTTCTAACAGCTGGTCAATGATCTGTCAGTGACCGAGCCTCGTATAGGAGTGGACATTCGGAGCAAGACATGGATCAAGGTGTTGCTGCCAATTTCGTGAAACCCCTCTCTCACTGTAAGACTGTGTTTTGAATAACACTACCTCCAGCTGTACAGATTGTGTACAGATCTATTTATATTAACCATTGTTTATATTAAACAAATCGCATTTTATATATTTAAAAATAGACAAAGCGACACGCAACCTCAGAGTTGACCAGTAGAAAAGATGAATGAACAGGGGTCAGTTACTTATTTAAATAATTTAAATTCCACACAGGACCAACTTCACCTGCACTTTCCTAAGTGTGGAAAGTTGGTATTTCTCAGTACGAAGATTATGTGCGGCACGCTGTTAACATTGGTGAATATTTTACAGCGCATCTTAGTATGGATAGAATCAAGTAAAAATAAAACTCCGGGTAAGCTTTCGAAAACGAAACATCGATTTCGGCGAGAGTGGGTGCAGAAAGGGGTACTCGTGTTGAATGGTGATGTACTGCAATGTTTGCCTGAAAAGCCAAAAAAGCGTTTCCCCACCCACTCGATATGAAATTCACGTTCAGCTGTGTGATGTATTTGTCACAAAGTCTGCTTTCTCGCACATATTTATATAAAATGCGGCTCAATAAAATGTGTGGATATTTGGTATATGTGCAATAAACATCATTTAACATTACACGTGTACATTTATATAACTTACTGCAAAAGGTTGACAGCAGTGTTTGCCCGCGCTTCTACTGTCATTCACAACACAGGCTTGTTCCCAAAAACATGTTATTCAGTGCAAGTAATTTGTTTCATTTAAGTTTGCAATGTATATAATAACTTAGTATCGTTCCAATTTTAAAATGTGCAAAAAGCAGCAGGTTATTCGAGTGAAAGAAATGGTGAACAAGTTTTATCCAATGCTTACTCCCAGCCTGATATAATCCCTTACAAATGTCACAGCATGTTTTTGGTCTCTCTGGAGATAAAATAAGACCAGATTATTGCCGCCTCCAGGTTACATTCGGAATGCCCACGAAATTCTAACTGTGGCGACCGACGTTTAAACCAATAGTCTAGCTTACATATTATTACCAAAAATGTGTTACCCTCGTCAAATTCATCAGGAAGGTTCATAGCTCGATCTTACGCTAATTTATTTATTTTCTAATCAATCTGTTCAAAGCTGTAATAGTACACGTTTGGCTTCCTAGCTCAAAGATAGGACATTACCACAGCACCACAAGAGCCCCCTTCCGCACTTTTTTTTTTCCTTTTTCTATCATGGAGAGTGAATTTAAATTGGCAGAAGACTGGCATAAGTACCTCAGTAGGAAACCACGATGGATCATCCACTCAGCACCTCTGGCTGGAGATGGTGCGAAAAGGCAGGCACGGTGGCTCAGTGGTTAGCACTGCTACCTCACAGCGCCAGGGATCTGGATTCGATTCCACCCTCGAAGTTTGCACATTCTCCCCGTGTCTGCGTCGGTTTGCTCCGGTTTCCTTCCACAGTCTAAAGGTAGATGGGCCAGGGGAATGAGCGGGATGCTCTTCAGAGGGGCGGTATGGACTTGTTGGGCCGAATGGCCTGATTCTATGATCTATGTAAACGCTGGAATATCTGTCACGCTGTTTTATTTTTCAGACAGATCGAGTCAGAACAACTGTGAGGATATTTACTAATATTGCTTACCGCGACCGCTAAAATTTATTGTTTGTTTGGCAGCGTTAACATTCCTAACTGATTTATGACAAGCGGCAGCAAAGCGAACTGGGAGGTTAAATTAATTCCCATTCTTACTGATCACCCCACCAACCTCCCATCACAGCTCAACAGTGGCAAAACGCAGATAGAAGTGCCGCATTTCCCACGAGTCAGGAAAATTGTTTTAAAACTGAAGAGATGACAAAATATTCCAAAAGTCCACTTCGAAAACGGCACGCCTGTTTTTTTTCCCTTTTAGCAGTTTAGATTTTTCCATTTTGACTTGCGTGTGATGTAATGCAATATTTGAAAAGATCGAAAACTAAAAGGGTTACAGAAGTGCCTCAGTTCAGCATTGGATGTAACGCAGATTATAAAAGTGACTCCCAAGCCGCCTCGCGTTGCTATACGGCCCGCTTGTAGTTTCATCAACAATTTGACACAGGCATTTTAGAACAGAGCTCCTGAGGAGCGGGCAACGCTACCATCAGCGCTGCAATGAACTTCTGCGGGAACCAAATCAATTCTATTGCCCGTGTACTCTGCCCGAGGCAGCTTCTTGGCTCATTGGTTGCCGAAGCCTCATTCTGGCCCCTGTGGCCTGGCAGTTTTTGTCAGCAGTGGTTTATCCTTGCTCTGGGTAAGGAGGGAGGGGGGTGGCAAGATAAGGAGGCAGGAGCAGGAATGGAAACCACATTGCTGGCACTATTCTGAACTCATACATCACTGAACCACCATTAGACAGTTCTTACTGTGGAGAAAGAAACAGGGTCTAGAGAACGCAGCAAAACTTCTATGTTTTAAAAACAGTTCACATTACAGAAGAGGAAGTTCGGGAGGTCTTAGAGAATATAAAGGTGGATAAATCTCCAGGACCTGATCAAACGTGTCCTAGAATGTTGTGGGAAGGAAGGGAGGAAATTACGAGACCCCTTGCAGAAATATTTGAATCATCTATAACTAAAGGCAAGGTGCCCGATGACTGGAGTCTGGCTAATGTTGTACCTTTGTTTAAGAACGATCATAAGGAGAAACCGGGGAACTGTAGACCTACGAGTCTGACTTTGGTTGTGGGTAAATTGTTGAAGGTGTTGAAAGCTAGGATTTATGGACATTTAGAAAGGCAAAAATTGATTAGGGATAGTCAGCATGGTTGTCTGCAAGGAAAATCATGTCTCACAAACTTGATTGAGTTTTTCCAGGAAGTTACCAAAAAGGTTGATGATGGCAGAGCAGTAGACATTGTTTGTCTGGATTTTAGGACAGCCTTTGACAAGGTTCCACATGATAGACTAATTAGTAGTTGGGTCACATAGGATTCAGGGTGAGCTTGCCAATTGGATACACAATTGGCTTAACGGCAGGAAACAGACAGTAATGGTGGAGGGTTGCTTTTTGGACTGGAGGCCTGTGACCAGCGGTGTTCCACAGGGATTGGTTCTGGGTCCTCTTTTGTTTGCCATTTATATAAATGATTTGAATGAGAATATAGAAGATACAGTTAGTAAGTTTGCGGATGACACCAAAATTGGAGGCATTGTAGACAATGAAGAAGATTTTCTAAGATTACAAAGAAATCTTGAGCAAATGGGTCAATGGGCTGAAAAGGCCAGATTGAGCTTAGTCTGAATAAATACAAGGTATTGCATTTTAGTACAACAAACAAGGAAATTATACAATCAATGGCAGTGTTGTAGAACAGAGGGATCTAGGGTGCAGGTACATAATTCTTTAAAGTTTGCTTCACCTATAGCCAGGATGGTTAATAAGGCATTTGCCACACTCGCCTTCATTGCTCAGACCTTTAAGTATAGGAGTTGGAGTGTTGTACAGGACATTGGTGAGGTTGTACAGGACATTGGTGAGGCTTCTTCTGGAGTACTGTGTCCAGTTCTGGTTGCCCATTTATAGGAAGGATATTATCAAGCTGGAGAGGGTTCAGAAGAGATTTGATGGTTGCCAAGTATGTAAGTTTTGAGTTATAAGGAAAGGCTGGATAGGCTGGGATTGCTTCCACCAGAGTGTAGGAGGTTAACAGGTAACCTGATAGAAGGTTATAAAATAATGAGGTACAGATAGAGTTGATGGTAGTTGTCTTTTCCATAAATTGAGGAATTTCAAGACTAGGGGGCACATTTTTAAGGTGAGAGGAGACAGATTTGAAAACGACGAGGCAATTTTTTTTACAGAGGGTGGTTTGCATGTGGAATGAACCTTCCTGATGAAGTGGTGAATGCAGGTACAATTACAACACTTAAAAAGATGTTTGGATGGATAAATGAATAGGGATGTGAGCCAGGAACAAGCTGGTGGGACTAGTTTAGTTTGGGATTATGGTCGGCATGGACTGGTTGGACCGAAAGGTCTGTTTCCATGCTGTATGCCTCAATGACTCTATAAAAGTGTACTACTACTTTAAAATAAAAATAAGAATAAAAATGTAGAAGCTAATTTAGGGTAGGGTAGGCAGAGGGTAACACTATATTTAGAAAACAAGCAAAAATATACTTTTTGTGGGGTAAAATCACACCACCTTTTGGAAGGTTGCAAGCTCCTCCTGCTGTGACTATGATTTGTTTTTAAATTCCTTCTTCTAACAATGGCCTTTTCTGCCACTTTCTAATTGCCTTCAAGAAGGTGGCAATGAACAGTTTTCTTGAACTGCTGCAGTTCATGTGGTACACCTGCTTCCCAGTAACAATATAAGAGAGAGCTCCAGGAATTTGACTCAATAGTTAGTGCCAGAACAGGGGCATCATTCCAGGACATGATGGTGAATGCCTAACCTTGCAGCTTGCTATAATGTCCAATGACACAACAGGCATCACTCCCAGGTCCCCAGGTAATGTTCTGTGGCTCTGGGTTCGAATTTCACCATGGCAAATGGTGGTATTTAAATTCAATTTTTTTTTAAAAAATCTGAAATTAGGAGTCGAATGATTACCATTATCCATTGCCAAAAAACCCCATGTGGTTCACTAATATTTTAGGGAAGGAAACTGCCATCTTTATCTGGTGTGGCCCACATGCGACTCCAGATCCACAGCAATGTGCTGACTCTCAACTACCCTCTGGGCAACAAATGCTGGCCTAGCCAGTAACTCCCTCATCCCATTAATGAATTAAAAAATACTCAGTCAGTCCATCACAACCCAATAAGCCTGTGCACGATAAAGATTTTCCCAATAGCAGACATCTCAATTCAGTAACAGTATAGAACCTGCTTTCACAGAAAATTGATCATCAAGGAAGAGCTATCACATGAACAAAGTAATGGGAGCAAACTGCTTTCTGGGATATGGTAAATAGACAGATCAGTTTTTTTATTCTTTTGTGGGCTGTGAACAGCACCAGCAAGACCAGCATTTATTGCCTATGCCTAACTGTCCTCAAGAAGGTAATCAAGTAGCTTGCTTGGCCATTTCAGAGGGCAGTCACATTGTTGTGGGTCTGGAGTCACATAGACTAGATTAGAAAAGGAAACTTGTCATCCTTACCAAAAGAATATTAGTGAACCACATAAATCTTTATGACAATGTGATAGTTTCATAAACATCAATACCAAGATTAGCTTTATTTTTCAGCTAATTAATTAGATAAACAGGAGATGAGAAGTTGAAGTGTTTCATCACAAACTCATCAGAATTAGGATGCAAGAAACAGACTTGAAAAAAGACACCATTTTATATATAATATACGTGAGATGAGGGCACTAATTGACTGTATTATCATTGGCAGTTAATTGTCAATCTTAATTCTCAGACCAGACAGATGGACACTAATTGGTCAGGGTATTGTCATAGGGGTGTAGCAGATTTTGGTTGTATCCGTTACTCCTTTTTTCAAAAAGGTGCAATGCATGTACAAATTCCTTTTGCCTACATAAAACAGGGTCCTGAGAATTTACATAGCTTCTAGCATGTGCAAATTGTGGGCCTAGCTGATGATCTTAAATTGGTTTTTGGTGTAACTCTTAGCACAGT